GCCCACTTCCTCCAGCTTGGCCTCACATGAAGGGTGGAAAAGCTCCCCCCACAAGCGCTGTAGACACAGGGAGGTCTGAGAAGTGGGCTGGCCCCAAAAAAGTCCTTTTTCATTTTTCCTGGTCCCAAGCATGCAACACGAGGACTGAAAGGGGCATCAGAATCCACTCAGCCACATGCCCTGCTCCCTGGCTGACAGAGGAGGAAGCTGAGGCCCAGAGGTGAGCAGTGTCTTGCCCAGGATCATGACAGCTAAAACCAGAGGCCCTGACTGCTGGCCCAGTGTCCTGTCTACTACTCACAGCTAGCTGCCACCCTGGTCCCACCCAAGGGCACACAACTCCCTCCCTACCCCTTCCCTGGAAACCCCTGGAGGACCACCTGTTCTCAAGAGAGGCATCTGGGAGAAGACAATGAACCACCCAAGAGGTCTCGACCCAAAAGGCACAGTGGGGGTGGGTACCTGCCCCCTTCCTCCAGCCCTTGAACCACCCTCAAATCAGAAACACAGCCAGGCTTCCTGACACACCCAACAGGGGCGCCGTCGCCAGGAGCAAAGAAGGCCCGTGTGCCTAGGCATAGCAGATGCCCAGGGCATGTGGGGGCCACCAAGAGGGTGATGAGGGACTCTGAGAAAGCAACCCCCAACACAGGCACTCTGAGAAGGCACCCGGAGACAGGGAGGGACTCAGAGGCCAGGCACATCTCATACCCGAGTCCCAAGGCCCCCTCTGCCCCAACCCCACACCTTTAAATCCCCACCCTCTGCCCCCACCCCAGGGCGCCGGTCTTCACTTCTCCCAGCACTGGTTCATCTTCAGCTGCCATGGACAGGAAGGGGCACCAGTGAGGGGCTTTGAGTCAGCCTTGTGGGTCCCCCTTTGTAACCGGCCAGTGTCCTGAGGCCTGGGCCCAGCTATGGCCCCAGTCTAGCTGGGATCCTGAGCAGGGCCTCCTGACCTCCTCCTCTGCCAGGTACACTTAGAAATGGAGAAGTCGGCCCCTCCTGAAGGGAAATGAACAAAAACCCCAGCCCACGCCGGGAGGAGGTGGCTGAGGGTGTCAGCAATGGGTGTATCTGTGACCTCCCCCCATGCACCCTTGGGGAACTTGGTGAGAGGGTGCTCCGGTCCCACCTCTGCCACTGCCTCCCTGCTGTGACCAAGTCACCCATATGGTCTGTTTGGACCAAACAGGTGAATTTTCAACTTTTTTTTTAGAAAGATGGTTCTATTAGTTTCCTACCCATAACAAATTACCACAAACTAGGTGGCTTACAACAACAGAAATATATTGTCTCCCAGGTCTTCTGGCCAGAAACCCAAAATCAAGGGTAGCAGGCCCACGCCCCCTCCGAGGCTGGCAGAGAGAAGCCTCTAGCCTCCCCCTGCTCTGAGGTCCTCAGTGGGCCTAGACTGGGGCAGCATTGCTCCATCTCCACTTCTGTCCGCACAGGGCCTCTCCTGGCCTTTCCTCGGTGTGTCTCTTACAAGGACACTGGTCATTGGATTCAGGACCCTCCCAGATAACCAGAATGACTTTGCTTTGAGATTCTGTGACTTAATCACATCTGCAAAGACTTTCTTTACAAATAAGGTCACATTCACAGGTTCCAGTGATCAGGACATGCACATATCTTTTGGGGGGCCACCCATTTAAGCCCACTATACTGATCTTATTCAAAAGCCTTAGATTATTCCTTAGCAAAAGAATGGAGTTTGAAACAAAGGCGAAAGTTGGAGCGTTATCCCCCTTCCTTCCTCTCCCAGCCCTCCTACCCCACTTCCCCATCTCAAGGCCTCTCCAGGGAAGTCCTAGACATCCAGGTCCCCTCTGCCCCTGCCACTGTGCTCGTGTCCCTTCTGGGGCCTCATAGGAGGTGGCTGCCCTCTCCACATGGCTCCCAGATCGCCCCGCAGAGCCAACTTGGCCCGCCACAGTCTCAGGACCTGCAGGCCTTTCTTTCCTGGTGGGATGGCGCTGGGATGGAGTCCCCTCCTGACAACCCTCCAAAGGGAGTTCCTTGTTCTGAGCCCAAAATTGCTCTGCCTATTGGGAAGCAGGGAGTGTCGTCCAGGGACAGGCAGGCCGCATGGCAGTGGCAGAAGCAAGGCTGGGAACAGTGGGTATGAACAGCAGGGGCAGAGGCAGAGGAGCTGGGGACCTGGGAGGCACTCAACAGCGCCCAGTGGGCCTCCAGGCAATGGGCAAAGAGAGTCAGCCTTGGGGGTGAAAAAGGGTCCCTGGTGGCATCTGTGTGAGTGTGGATAAAATGAGAGCTCCTGTGGCCAGGATTCTCACCTGGCCCTGGTTGACTAGCTCACTGCACACCTGTGGGCAATACATGGCTGTTGACTCTATATAAAGAGCTCTGCCCAGTACTCTGGGCACAACACAGTGGCAGGGCTGCAAGGCTGCAGGAGAGCAGAGCAGAGGCTGGAGTGGTGGCAGCGCCGAGGACAGAGGCCCAGAGGATGGCTGTGCAGGACGACTGTGCAGAGAGGCCCAGAGGACGGCTGTGTGGACAGAGGGGCCCAGAGGCAGAGACAGGCTTGCTGCATGCAGACTCACTCTGAGTGCACAGGATTTTAGTGACTGACCTGCCACCTGGAAATAAAGTTGGGCATAACCCTTTCACCCCAAGAATCTTCTGCTGTCAATTTCTTTGGTCACACTGAATCCATAGCAAACTTGCCCAGGGCTGAAACCCATTGGCAAGAGTGAGATATTGCGGTTCCCTAAAGGAAGAGGGTCACAACCCCCACCCCCAGGGACTGAGGGTACAGAGCTGAGACCACAGCTGCTTCTGTCCAGACTAGAGTGTTTGTGTGACCTTGGATAGGTCCCTTCACCTCCCAGAGCCCAATTTTGTTATCTGTAAAACAAAGATAGAAGCAACTTTCCTCAGTGGATTGTCTGGGGACACAAAGAAGACAAAGACGTGAATCCATCTGGAGATGACCACCCACGGGGAGAGCGTGTCACCTCTCCTACTCCAGCGGCCTCTGGACGCAGCGCGAGGGACCCAGATGCCAGCAGAGCCCGGGACCCAGCGTGGCAGGCTGCTGGGAAGAGGGGCCTGGATCAGAGCAGGAAGGAGGGGTGAGGCGCAGCAGAGGAGGGTGGAGGCGGAGAAGGCAGTGGTGGGAGTGCCCTCGAGGCCCAGGTGCCCTCCTGCTGGCAGCTCAACTTCCTTGCCCAGTGGCCAGCATGTCCAGAGCTGGGAGCCCCTCTTGCCAGACCCTCTCCTTCTGCCACCATGCCTAGCCCAGCCTGGCACAGGCTGCGGCCCGCTCGACAGAGGCTGGCTAGGATTCGAGCTGATCTGCTCACCCAGAAGGTGCTAATTGAGCTGATTAATTGAGCCAATTACCTCAGCCTCCCAGGAGGTCTGGGAGCAGGCCTGGCTCCGGGGGGCCAGGTGTAAGGCCGCAGGGCAGGCTGAGAGAGGGAGACAGGCCTGCGGGGGGGCACAGGCGGCAGGCCCACCAGCCCGCACTGGCACAGGATGGGCGATGGGCCAATGCCCGTTCAGGCGAGGCGAGCTGGGGCTCCTGGCAGAGCCAGGAGGGAGCCATCCGAAGGGGAGGCAGGGCTGAGCAGGGGCGGGCACCGCAGGATAGGAAAGGGGTGCACCAGCGAGTGAATGGTCCCCAGAGAAATGAATTACCTTTCCTGCTGCATCTTGTGCTAATTTCGGAGTGTGAATCAAAGTGAGAGTAAATGTGAAACGCGAGCATTTAGGGCCCACAGCTACAGTGCAGAATGCCTTCCGTCCCTTACCTCAGCCGGTCCTCACAGCCCCTGGGAGGCAGGTGCCGCTGTTGTAGATGCCAATTTACAGAGGAGGAAAGTGGGGCTCAGGGGCTGCTAGTGGGCTGAGGTCCTGCTGACAGGTGAGGCGAGCAGGGTCCGAACCCGAGTCCCCAGACTGCAAAGGCTTTGTGGTACGTGCCTGCAGGCTGCTTGGGGCTCTGGGAGTCAGCGGGTGAGTCTGAATGTGAGTTCACAGGAGTGTGGCAAATAGGAGAGAACTTGAGACCCGAAGGTCTGTGAGCGTGTGAGGCTGGCAGGGCTGTGAGTTGGCCTGGCTCACATATGTGCAAGGACAGGGGGCCATGGTGCGTGTCGGCTCACATGTGCCCGGGGCCATACCCAGCTGCAGGCCAGGCCCAGTCCACGGGCCCTTGGGAGGAAATGCCATGTCCCAGCCCAGGGCTTACCCAGTGTCCTCCTATCTCCTGCTACCCTTGTCCCCGCCATCACCATAGTCCCCCCAACAATCAGACAGGCCTGAATGTGTGCAATCATTTCCCACCTCCGTGCCTGCTCCTTTCCAGTTCTGTCTCTCCACAGAAGCCAGAGGGCTTTAAAAAGCACACAGATCTAATCACAACCCACTCCTGTTTTGTTTGTGCAAATGGTGCGTCCTTTTATTTGGGTAATAGAAATCATACTTATTTCAGGACAAAAAAAGTGCTTTTTTTCAAAATTCAACTTGATTGACAAATAGTTTACATAAAACAAACTGTACCCATTTTAACTGTATTACAGATAATGAATTTTGACAAATGCATACACTTGTGTAACCACCACCCCATTCTATTTCCATCATATGGAAAGTTCCCCCATATCCCTAACCAGGAAACATCCCACACCCCCCATCTCCCACCCTGAGCAGTCGCTGGTCTGACCTCTATCACTGTAAATTAGTGTTGCCTTTTCTAGAAGCTCATATAAATGGAATCACACAGTATGTGCTCTTTGGTGTCTGGCTTCTTTCACTTAGTGTAAAATTTTTTAATTTAGCCACGTTGCTGCACCTGCCACATGGGGATCACGTACGCATACATCAGGGGCTTGTCCTGTGTGTTGTTCTAGGGTATTCCATTGGATAGACGATAGACATACCACTGTGTGGTTATCCAGCCACCAGATGATGAAGGTTTGGCTTGTTTCCAGTTTAGGGGCTGTTAGGAATAAAGCTGATATGAAAATTGTATACAAGTCTTTTTGTGCACATATTGTTTTATTTCTTTTGGGTAAATACAGCAAGTGGAATACACGGTAAGTACAGGTTTAACTTTGTAAGAAACGGCCAAATGGCCTTTGGGATCGATTTTGAGGTTCTTTAGCGTGATCTTCAAGGCCCCACATGGTCTGGCCCCTCCTTTCATTTCAGCCTCATCCTCTTTCCCTTTTCCCCGTGTTTACTGCATGTCCACCACACCCTTTCTTGCTGTTTCTTTAAAGTACCCAGCTTCTTTTGACAACAGGACCTTTGCACATGCTGGTTCCTCTCCCTGCTTTCCCCACTCCTCTATCCCTTAGGGCTCATTTCAATACTCAGTTCCTGGAGGGCTTCCTAACCATCCCCCACTCCATCCAGATGTGCAGCTCCTCACGCCTTCTCAAAGCTCTCTGTACTTTCTTCTGTATAACACACATCACAGTGCTAACTGCATATGATTAGGGGTTTAATACTCCTCTCCTCAACTCAGCTCCAGGCCTATGAGTGTAGGAATCGTGGTCCTCACCCCTGTGCGCCCAGCACGGTCCCTGAGACATGGGAGCTGCCAGATAGATACTTCAGGAGAGTAAACGAAGGAGGCTGACCGCCGGGGCTCCAGGCCCTGCTGAGGGACCTGGGAGCCCACCCCTTGCAGAGAGGCCTGGGCAGCAGGCTGGGCAGCAGTTCCTCCCAGATCCAATGACTGGGTGGAGGAGCGAGGGAGGGAGGGAGGCGGGAAGGCAGGAGAGGAAAGGGAATGACTCATCTTCAGAGACACATGGCTAGGCGGGAGGAAAATGCAATTCAGCAGCTTCTTGACCTTTCCTTTGTGTGGGGAGAAATGCTCCAGCCCCAGCAGCAGGGCTGGCAATCGGGTACTCCCTGAGTGGGGAAGACATTTGCCTTGGCCCTTGAGCAACAACAAGAGAGAGTTGTCAGGCTGGGGAAGGCATGTTGCCCACCCCTCCCCACCCCCACCTCCGCCCCTGCTCCCTTGTCCCCAAGGTCCCCAAGGGTGGCTATCCTCACCCTACTCTGGAGGCTGGGTGCAGCCCAGAGCACTAGGATGGGGCTCAGGAGGGGCACCTTGAACCTGAGCAAAGAATGCCTGGGGGGCGTTTCAGAAACTCATTTTATGCATGTAGAAGTCAGGCCCTCACAAGGGAGAGAGTGGACCCAGGAACAGCCTGTAAACAGGAGAGGGCCCATGTAGGGGCAGGACGTGTCTAGACGGGGCTGACTGAGGCAGCCCGGGCCTTGGCTCTGAACTGTATGCGGCCTGACTCACTGAAGCAATTCCTCCGTCTCCCTAAAAGAAACTGGAGAGGAAGGACAGGCTGTCAGCCTAGCAAGGCAACAACCTGAAGGCCTTGCGGGGCCACAGGTGCTAATGGACGTGGGCCTCCCTCTGAGGTCATCACCCAGAGCTTACTGCAGCAAATCTGGCTTTTAACTTCTCACTGGCCAGATTCCCGCACTGGGGTCCTAGAACCTTTTCTTCCCCACATGGGGCACGGCTTATTGTTCCTGAGAGGGTCTGAGTCGGTTTGCCACCACGACCCCTTGTTGCCGTGCCCTGGTATACACCTGAGGTAAAGCAGGCTAGGCTGGGTCACGTTCCAAAGGGAGTGGTCAGGATCCTGACCCTCTGAGGGGCTGCTGAGCAGATGGACAAGACAGGCAGAGGGCCCAGGGGCCTGGAGAGCTCACCGCGTCCCCGGATTCTTCCGTGCACAGTCATTCACGTCAGGGCCCTGGTTAGGAATGGTGGCCATGTGTTGGGGAAAGCATGGACTTCCAGTGAGTTGCTTCACCTCAAGTCTAAGTTTTCTGGTCCTAAAATGGAGACAGGAATACCAGTCTCAGTAGTACCTTGTCAAGATTGAATAAGGTAGGTATTCAAAAAAATGGCAACTCATATTATGAATCAACCTTAAATTCTATCACAGTTTTTTAATTCTCACATTTGTAAAGTGTTTTATTGTTTATGAAACACTTTCATGTTTATGATTTCATTGGCCTTGTAACAGTCTTGTCAGTACACAGGACAAATACGAGTAGCCCCATTTATATAATAAATAAAAATAACAGAGGCCCAAACGGGTAAAAGAAATCGTGCAAATTCCATAAGATCTTGTAAGTATGCAAAACTGAAAATACAACCTCCCAACTCCTAGCCTAAACTTTCTCCCCACTTTGCCAAGCAAATCCCTGGCTCCTGGGGTCCAGGGGGTTCAGCATGCAGCTCAGCCATCTGAGGAACTTCAAAGGCTTTGTGGAGGCTTAAGGGCTGAGGACCAGTTCTTCCAACTGAAGCAAAGGGTTGGGGGTGAACAAAGCTGAGGCTCTTTGGCCAATGCATGTGCCTGGCAGATGGGGATGTGGCTATAGCTGGCACTGGAGTAGGGGCAAAGAATTTCCCCCCAGAGAAGTTTGGGAGGGGGGGGCACAGGAATAGGGGAGGAGGATAACCTCCCCACCAACCTCCCCACAGCATCCTGGGTGGAAGGGTCCTTATAAAACAGATGAATGATGAGAGGGCCCAGGAGTGACCTCGGGCACTGGTTCTTCCCATGGCAGAAACTGCAGAGAGAACTACAGTCCTTCCCTCCACATGTCAAACATCTGAGGAAGACAAGCAGATTTGGAAGCATTAGTTCTCTATTGTTGTGTAACAAATAATCCCAAATCTTCCTGGCTGAGACAAAGAAACACTTATTATCTCTCAGTTTGCGTGGGTGAGGAATTTGAGAGAATCTTGGTGGGGTGGTTTGGGCTCAGGTTTCCTTGCATGGTCCCAGTCGAGGTGCTGGCTAGGGCACAGGCGCATGAAGGCTCGACCGGTGCCAGAAGAACCACTTGCAAGGCGGCTCTCTCCCATGGCTGTGCATGGAGGCCTCGGTTTCTCCCCACATGGCTTCCTGGAGGGCTGCTTGAGTGTCTCCCTGACATGGCAGCTGCTTCCCCAGAGCCAGGAGAAAGCCACAGGACTTTTTATGACCCAGTCTCAGGAGTGACACACCATCATTTCTGTTAATCTATTTGTTAGGAGTGAATCTCTAGGTCATTCAAGGGAGGAGAATTAGGCTCCACCTTTTAAAGGGAGCATTAAAGATTTGTGGACATATTTTAAACCACCACAAAGTATTAAACACCCTCAGGCAGGCAGAGGGTGCTCAGAACAGACCCAGGAGATAATCTGCAGGTCAGGACCAGCACGCCGAGGCACCCCCATCAGCACCACAGAGGCCTCTTCACCCAGCCAGAGCTCCTGAACTACTGCCCTCACTGCAGTAACAACTTGGGCTTCCCTGGGTCCGGGGGACCCGATGCCCCAAGGCTGCAGCTGAGAGGGAGGAAGGAGAGAACTGTCAGGGTGTGTGGGAGGCTGCCCTTACTCAGTCCGAGCCCACAGGGGAAGGAGAGATTGGAATGCCGCACACTCTGGTCCAGAACTACTCTGTCTGCAGCTCTGGGGGAGGAGGCGCCATCTCCTCCCTGCACAGGACCATATCTGGGTATACCCTTGACAATGCTCCTGGGTACTGCCTTCCCCTGGACCCTGGCTGGCCTAGGGGCAAAGCTCAGGTGCACAGGCGAGGACTGCCTTGGCCAGCTTCCCTTCCAACAAACCTGCCATTCACAATCCTGAGAAGGCAGCATCTGTTACCACCGATCCTGCCGCCTGGCCTCTTACAATTGGACCTGACCCAGCAGGAGACAACTATTGGCCGACCAACAGCCGATCAGATACTCTCTCTCAAGATTTTGGCACTAAGACCCCCGGAGTCAATCTAGGGCAGGGCCTGGAGCTGGAGGTCAGGCAGTCAGGGAAGGCTGGGGGAGCTGGGGCAGCTATTTTAGGACCATGTGCTGATGAACAAGCAAAGAAAGCTCATCTGCAGGGGAAGGCAGGAAGATGGAGCACAGAGGGCATCAGGGATGAGCCCCCGAGCGGCACCGGGGAGGACAGGCAGGAAGGGCAGTTGGCTGGGTCCCCTAGTGTCTCTCAGTTCTCCCGAGGCCTGAATGTTCTTCTGGTTCTGGCTATAGGTCCCCTGAGTCTCTCTTGAATCCTTACAATAAATCCCCTGTTCTGAAGCAAGTGTGAGTGGTTTCTCTCCAGACAGACAATCTAGCCTAAGACCAGAGGAGGTGGAGGAGGACCATAGCCTTATTGCAACACGGCCAAGAGGGACTTGGGGATAAAGCGTCACATTCACATGCACACACTTTAATTTAAGCCCAGGGAATCCAAGAAACAGAATGAGACACTTACTCAACTCTGGCACTGATGTTCTCTTCTGGCAAAGCCAAGAAAATGGTCTGTTGCTCTTGACACTCCCTGTGCTGATTCCCGGCAGCAATGAGAAATAAGTGACCCTGCGGCAGATGATTCCCACTGAATCCCTCTGGGCAGAGGTGAGCAGGAAAGACAGCGTGTTTTCAGAAGGGGTGGGCCCATGCAGGCTGGCCTTGGCCTTGGCCAGGCCAGTGATGCTGGCCAAGTAGGACGGCTAGGGGCTGGTGGGGAGTGTGAGAACGCCTCTTGATTCGTTCCCGGGCTCCTCTTACCCTGAGACATTGCATCACTCGGCTTTCAAGCGATGCGAATTCCCACAACAGTAACCACACCCATCTGCAAATGCAAGTCCAGTAGAAAGGGCTTTCGAATTATTCATCGGTTCATTCAACAAACATCCACTGAGCCCTTTTGGATGCCAGGCCCTGAACTGGGTACAAACTTGAAACCAACCTCATCCCTGTCTTCCAGGAGCTCTCAGTCCAGTAGCAGCGCTGAGACCCAGAGAGCTCATCAACTGGCCCACAGGAAAGGGTCTCCCCTGGCTCCTGGGGAGGACGGGTCACGACTTGAAGAATGGGCGGGATTTCACACAGGCAAGAACATTCTTTTGGAGGGAATGGAGGAGACAGCAGGCTGTGGTGGGAAGACACTTGATGAGGATCCAGGCGGCCTGGGTTGTAGTTCTGGTTTTGTCATTAACTCAGAAAACCCCCTTTCCCATTATGGACCCTAGTTTCCCATCTGCCAGCAAGGGAGGTTGACTTATAGCCCTGGCATTCGAGAGGCTATGGTGGCAGGTGCTGAGGGGAGGGGAAAGTTGGGAGAGGAGTTTTTCCACAGTTTGATATCATTCAATGGTTTCCCAAACAGCTTGCCTGGGCCAGATGGGCACCTACCCTTAGACTAGGCCAGGGGAGCCCCATCTGGTCAGATTCAGTCTCATCCCTCTTTCTCTTAACATGCTCTTAACCCATCTAGGGGTAGATCCTGTGTACCAGCCCCTCGCACAGGGATTCAGGAGAGAAGTCACAGCATGCTCTGTGACCAAGAGCCTTATATACTTTGGAAGGTCCTGGGTGCCCTCGGGGAGTGGCATCCTTGTTTCCAACTTCCCCAGTGAGTTCACTCACATGGGTTTGAAAGCAATCAGACACATTCCAACCTGGTGACCAGGCTCCCAGGGCAGGCTTTTCTGTCCTGTCCCTAAACTCACTTCCCAGCAGAGGGGCCAATCAACTTTGTGATTATGCTGTTCTGCAATTTCCCATAAATGGTTTGACTTCAACCTTTCATAGACTGACCACCTTAGACAAGATGACTCTGAGATTTGAAACAGAGAATAGCCCAGCATGACTGTATTGAGGGTGCCTTGGAAGGAAATAAGACTGGAGCAATCCTTTGAGGTCAGATCATAGAAGATCTTACATGCCAGGTCGGGGAGGTGGTTTTGGAGTAGAGGAATAGTTGATGGGAAATGAGCTTAGGAAAATATTCTGAGCAGTGAGTGACATGGACCAGTGTAGGGAGATAAGAGGGAGCTCTTAGCAGCCAGGAGAATACTTGGGCAGGGGCCTGAATCAGCAGAGAGAGTGGGAACGAAACAGAACAAGAGTAGGCAGATGGGAGAGATTAGGCAGAGGGGGAGCCCACAGGACAAGGCCACTGACCGGAAGTAGAAAACAAAGGCAAGGGAGGAAAAGGACAGAAGCCTAGGAAAGTTCCAGCTCTCCTTCCCAGCATAGATCCAGCAACTCACACACCTAGAACCCCAAAATACCATAAGATCGTGCCTACACAGCACAAAATACCTATGACTCCAAGCATTCAGAAAGCCCCCAGAAGCCCTCAGGCCCCCAAGTACCTGGGAAGACATTCTGATTTTGTCTAGAGGCTTGCAAAGGCATGGGAGTAGTGGGGCCCCTCAGTCCCTAGCCTCCAGGGTACCCCCAGAGCACTGCAGGTAAGCGGCAGACAGCCAAGGTGCTGGGGGAAGGGCGAGCCGAGCCCCCTGCTCTCATCAGAAGCCACGCTGGTATTTTTAGCACCGCAATCAACATCAGGGCCCGCCTCTGGATCGGCTCAGGCAGCCTGGGCCAAGCAGGGCTGTTAAAAATGGAACGGCACATACTGCAATCAGTTGTGGCGGACGAGGGGCACCCGGCAGGGCAGCAGCTGTGGCATCTGAAACTATTGGTCCTCAAGCTGGCAGAGGGAAACCTGGCAGGGGAACAGGGGGAGCAGCCTCCCAGAGCATGCTGGGGTGTGAGGTCATGCTGTCCTATACCCGTGATGCCCCAGAAACATCCAGGAGTCAGGCCCGTGCCCAGAGCACTGCCCCCACACCGTCTCCTGACTGTGCCAGCAGCTTGCATTAACACCTGCGCCCTGCCTTTCCCTGCAGGGCTCTTTGTAAGGGGCAGCCCTGGGGGTCTCCGGAGAAAGGAGAGGGATGGGGGACCAGGGCCAGGGGGCGGTGAGCACTGAGGAAGCTAACAGAGCCAGACTCAGGTGGCCTTTCCTGCCCTCTGACGCTGGGGAACCGGCTGCTGTCACCCTTGCTGCCCCCTCTCCCTGTTCCGGCACGAAGCCGAGCTGCACTGAGAGTCCCCTGCCATGCCTGTCCTTTCTGGGGTGGGAGGTGCCGTCGGTGGCCTGGGACAGTTCACGCTCACCACACGGAGAGCCCCGAGGCCTGGGTTCTGAGCCATTTCTACCACTCTGTGACAATCTGGGGGCCTCCAGTAAGTGACCTCCCCTCTCTGGACTCCATGGTTTCATCTGAAAAATAACAAGCCTGGAGCCAAGCACAGGCTTCTCAGACTGCCTGGGCCAGCCCAGGCTGGGTGCAGAGCAATGGGTGCTGCCATGCCCCGTGCTCTCTGTCCCGGAGCGGAGGACTCCTGCCGGAGCAGTGCTCAACACCGCAGCGCATGCCCCTTCCAGAGCAGTAGCCCAGAGGCAGGGCTGACCTGGAATGGTCTTGGCGTCATTATCCTGCCCAACCAAGAGCTGAGAGGGCTCTGGGGGCCGTGGAGAGGACACGGAAATGAGTAGGGAAACCAGAACACCAGTGTTGACTAAGCAGAAGGGGCTCTAAAGGCCGTGCTGTCTTGTACCCTCGTTTTGCAAACACTGAGTTCGAGTGGAAAGGCCGAGTGCCAGCCGCCCAGCAGACCAGGGCCGGCCTGGAGGTGTGCGTGGACGTCCGAGGGCAGGAGCAAGGGCAGATTTCTTAATCCTTCCCACAGATCCTGGGTCCTCCAAATGCCCCTTCCATTGGGGTCTGCAGAACCCCAAAGCACCCTAACAGAGCCCTCAGCCTCACAGACAGGCTATGGGACTTCACTGCCATCTGCCAGCCTGCATGCAGGAGGGCGGGGGCTGTAGTGTTTACTGAATTTCATGTAGGAGCATAAATCTGTGTCGACCTGACTCAGCACATGTTCAGCTGGAAGACGTGCTCTTAGGAAGCTGCCTCTCTGCCTGTCCCAGAACTCTTCACACCTCAGCAGGACAGATCAGGCCTGACCAGCTGGGCACCTCACGCAAAGAGGCACCTTGACAGGTCATTCCTTCCATCCCCCGGCCTCACTCCCCCTGGCCACAACCATGCCAAGTCAGCGTCTACTTAACGACATGCCCTGGACAAATGTGCTGCATAGCTGGTCGGCCCTGCAGATGTGCAGCCGCTGGAGGAGCACCCTCACCAGGCATGAGAAGCACCCTGCTGCCCTCCCAGCCAGGACCAACCAAAGCCCAGGCTTCTGGAGCCAGTAGCAGGAGGAGACACTCCCTGCCTGTCTTCGGCTGCCCTGCAGGCATCTATGTACACCTGGAAAGTGGGTACCCATGCCCAGGGGGTGCAGACTAGAGTACCCCAAGGCTGGCATATGGCAGAGCCACCTACGTCGCCATGGTGTGGGTTGGTGGTACATCTCGTATTTCCTCAACACCTCAGAGGGCAAGATGGGAGGCTACCGTCTGACAGCCTCGGGCCACCGACTGCTGAAGACTCAGTGGCCCACCTGGCACTGCAGATGGCTGGGCTGGTGGCGGAGGGGGCAGCTCCTTTGCTGCTGTCGCTGCTCAGCTGGAGACCTGGGGACCAGGCAGTGCCCGCCGCCCCGAGCAGCACGGGGAGGGCCCTGCCTGTCTCTAAACCCTTAGCTGGGGCAGGGCCGCTGCCCTCTCCGAGTCTGGGGAGGCTCTCTGCTGAGGGCACAAGGCCCCTAGAAGCTGCCAGATGGGAGGGACCGAGAGAGGGGCTGGCTGGGACTCAGCCGGTGACAGGAAGGAGGAAACTGTGTGGAGAAGAGGAGCAAGAAGAGGGCAGTCTCTCCAGGAACAGCCGAGGGGACAGCGACTTCTCCCAAGAAGCAGGAGGAGCCGAGACAGCAGTCAGAGCTGAAAGACGGGGCCCGGGAGACGCAGAGCCGCAAAAAGGAATGGGAAGGAGAAAGTGGGGAGTAGGGGTGGTTAATGCTACCCCCCCTTTTCTACAGCAACATATCCACTGCAAGCACTTTCATTTTGTCTCATTAGTGTCCCACTCCAGGACAACAGAATTGTACCTCTGCTTGATAGCTGGGAAAATGGAGGCTCAGAGAAGTTGAGTGACTTGGCCCCCATCACACAGCCTACATTCAGACCTGGATGGAAACCCCATTCCTGACTTGGATGTGAAAACTTCGATCCCCCAGAGCCCTTGAGTTCCCACCGGGAGCCCTAACCAGCGACTGCCGACAGCTCAGGCTCACAGGCGGTGAGGGAGGCGGGCTCATGAGGTTCTGTGGGTTAAGAATTGCTGTCCCTTCTCTGAAGTGAAATGCCCTGAAGAGGGGGCAGCCCCCTGGGCCGCTAGCCACCAGCGTGAAGGCATCTGGAAAGTCTGTAGGTCTAAGACAGCAGGACAGGATCCTGGGCTACTTCCAGGAGGGTCCCCAAAACAAGCTCCATCAGTATGTGATCTTGTTTGCTCAGGACAACACAGTGAGAAAATCTAGTTGTGTGGACTGAAGTCACCTCACCCCTGAGCCTCAGTGTCCTCACCTACTATCAGAGGAAACTGGACTCAGAGACCCCTGAGGCCCCTCCCAGCTCTGACTCTATGGATCTAGAAAGGCAGAATCCCTAGTCGGTGACTCCATCCCCGACCTCTGTCCAACCTCTCTGTCTCTTGCTCCGTCCTTCCAGTTGACCACCGTTCAGGGTCGGCCGGTGAGAACCCACCTTCTCCTCTGTACAT